CCGAGGCTTCCATTGTTGTGAGCATTTCTGTTGAGGACTGACAGTGAGGGTGGGGTGGGGGGTGTTTGGTTTTTATTCCCCCCCCCGTCTGCTGGGTGGTTGCAGCAGGTTTTGGTCACTTCACATGACCCTGGGACACTGTGACCGTCATAAATATGAATCAGTTGCCAAGCATCTGAATGTAAATCACAAGACCCTGGAGATGCTGCAACATTCCAGCTGATCGGTGCTTCTTCTGGGCTCCAGCTGGAGCCTGGCGCTGATCCTGGCGCTTCCGCTGAGCCCTGACAGCCCTGCAGCTCCAGCCGTCTCTCACTCAGGCTTGTGTGGTGCTGCCACTGGTTCAGCTCATTCCCCTCCCCCACTACTTTTCTGGGATGGTCGCGTACCACCTGCCAGGTGCCAAGGTACCACAGGTGGTACCCGTATCACTGGTTGAAAAGCCCTGGTTTAGTCTACTGAAAAGAAGGACTAGGGGAGACATGATAGCAGTGTTTCAATATCTGAGGGGCTGCCACAAAGAGGGTCCATCTATTCTCCAAAGAACCTGAAGGCAGGACAAGAACAACGGATGGAAACTAATCACGGAGAGAAGCAACCTAGAACGAAGGAGAAATTTCCTGACTGGTAAGAACAGTTAATCAGTGGAACAGCCTGCCTCCAGAAGTTGTAGGTGCTCCATCACTGAAGGTTTTTAAGAAGGCACTGAACAGCCATTTGTCTGGCATGTATAGGGTCTCCTGCTTGAGGAGGGGGTTGGACTAGAAGACCCCCAAGGCCCGTTCCAACTTCGTTATTCTGTTATGATAACAGTGTTCCCTCATTTGAGGGACTGCCACAAAGAAGGGGGGGGTGTTCAACCTATTTTTACAAAGTACCAGAAGGCCGGACAAGAAACAGTGGAAAAAATTCCTAACAATGAGAACAATTAACCAGCGGGACAAGTTGCCTCCAGAAGTTGTGGATGCTCCATCACTGGCGGGTTTTAACAAGAAATTATTTAGCCCTTCCTCTGAAATGATATAGGGTCTCCTGCATGAGCAGGGGGTTGGATTAGAAGACCTTTAAGATCCCTTCTAACTCTGACCTTCTGCTAACTGGGATCTTAGCTGCTTCCTACTCCAGGAGCAAACGCAGAGGTCCTGCTGCTTTGATTTGTCTTCTCTCACCAGGGAAGGTTTCCGATTCCATTTCTTTCCCAACTACTGTAATTGCCCTTACAAGATTTACAACAACTCTGGGAAATCAGAGCTTAGTGGGTTCACACTCTCCTGCTCCTTCTTTTAACAAGTTCCCTTCTGTAGCTGGGATCTCTCCATCCAGATGTTCAGGATTGTTAGCATTTTGACAAGCACCAGCTCTTGAAGAGTGGCACCCTTCTGCCATCCACATTCCTGGGAAATTCCTGTCCCCGGGGTGCTTGTGGCTTCTGGGTAAGGGCCCCTTTTAAACAGACATTTGCTTAGACATAAGCCTGTAATAACTGTTTATCTTTAACACACCCTCGGCTCCCACCCACATTCCTGCAAACAATTTGAGGGCTTCCTTGTATCGAGATTCCCAAAATTCAACCCACTCCGTTTAAGTTGGATAAACAGAAACTCCCCCCCCCCAAGCACTGTGAGATAAGCATTGTTGCAGTATATGGGGTACACGCTAAGTGTGCTTTTTAAAAAAAATCTCCAATCTGGGGTTCGGCTTTCTTGCAGAGCGTTTAGAAAATGATCAAATCTATTTGATCAGAACAAATGAAATGCGTATAAATCTGTTACAGTACAAGGAATACTGGTGTTATACCACCAATTCTTTTACCAAAAAAATAATTTATTGCCTCTCTCTGAGCTGTTTATTTATTAGGTTTTTATCCTGCCTTTTATCATTTTATTATAAGTAAGTGTAGGTGGTGAACATAGTTAATACTCTTTCTCTTGCTATTTTCCCCACAACAATAATCCTGCGAGGTGGATTGGAGTGAGAGTGATTGACTGGTCCAAAGTCACCTATTGGTTTTCATGCCGAAGGTGGAACTAGAATTCACAGTCGCCTGCAGATTGGCCCAAAGCCACCTAGCGAGCTTTCATGTCTAAGATGGGACTGGAACTTGTGGTCTCCTTCTGATTGGTCCAAAGTCACCCACCAGCTTTCATGCCACAGGCGGGACTAGAACTTACAGTCTCCTAGTTATTGGCCCAAAGTCACTCAACTAGCTTTCATGCCTAAAGCAGGACTAGAACTCATGGTCTCCTGGTTTGTAGGCCAGCACCTTAACAATTATACCTCTACAGATCAGATTTGAAAAGATGCAAGGTAGAAATATTACATAAAATCATTTATAGTACATAATACAAAACATAAGCATTTTCGTTTGTATTAGGTTGATCTCTGAACATTTTTCTAGCGGTGCACATCATAAAAGTAATTATTTTGTGTAGAAAGTTGCAGGTTAGATGACTTTTGTGTATGGCTCATTTCATTCTATCTCAAAACCTTGAAATGTGGATAAACACAATATAATAATAATAATAATAATAATAATAATAATAATAATAATAATAATAATAATAATAATAATAATAATAATAATAAAGTTGGAAGGGATCTTGGAGGTCATCTAGTCCAACCCCCTGCTCAGGCAGGAAACCCTATACCATTTCAGACAAATGGCTGTCCAGTCTCTCCTTAAAAACTTCCAGTGTTGGAGCATTCACCACTTCTGGAGGCAGGTTGTTCCACTGGTTAATTGTTCTCACTGTCAGGAAGTTTCTCCTTAGTTCTAGGTTGCTTCTCTCCTTGATTAGTTTTCATCCATTGCTTCTTGTCCTGCCTTCAGGCGCTTTGGAAAATAGCTTGACTCCCTCTTCTTTGGGGCAGCCCCTGAGATATTGGAATACTGCTATCATGTCCCCCCTTTATTTAACTTTATTTAACTTCTCTTTATTCTTTATTCTCTTTATTCCTTTATTTAAATTCTCTTTTCTCTAATTGTCTACTGCTGCTTTAACCTGGCACATTCTGAGTTCTTCACTGAATATCCAGGTAAGCTACTCAATACAATAATCAATTCAAAAAAGTGCTTAGCACCATAGCTACTTCAAGTAAAGCCAAGTTGCTTTGCTGCCCACAATGGGACTAAGTTACAATATGGATATGGGAGTCCTCTGAATGCCTGAGAAAAGCAATATGCTTATGTATAATTACAGTTATTAAACAGAACTAATGAAATGGATCAGTTTGTTTTTGCCAGCCCTATGCTTCTTTCAAAAGTACTCTGTACATCCAAAATTTGTCACCCTAGCAATAGCTGACAAGTTTAAATGTTTTCCATTTCAGCAGAAAACTTTAGCAAGGATTTTTCTTTTCTTCCCATTCAACAAGTCCAAACATATTTTGTGCTGAACAGCATGCCATTCTGCTCTTAAGTCTGAACACCCTGTAATAACATACCCACCGTCATAGTGCTCAAGAAACCAATTCTATTTACCGCCCTCCAACCTTTTGAGAGAGCAAATCCTTCTTCCCATTTCTCTATAGAGTTTTGATTATAATTTTTCTCCCTCACTTAGTTACCCAGACCAGAAATTCAACTTAGCAAGTGATTTCTTGGACTTTCTTCAATAAATGTTGGGCGAGGGGCACTAGGGACCCTTTTCAGATAGGAAAGTAGTAAATGTGAAAAATCCCTTTTGTAAAGCAAGGAACAAAAGGGCACCTGAGAACCCAAACAGATACAAAGTGCATGTTGGAAAGCCACAATCACCAAAAGAGGGTGTGTATGCCTGTCTTATGAGTGGGAATCAGTTCAGAAGCGAAGAAAATTGGAAGATAAATATAATCTAGAAGATGGATGAATGGATGGCTGGATGGATGGATGAGGGAAGGGAAGGGGTGGCAAGGGGCAAGGAGAAGGAAGGAAGGAAGGAAGGAAGAGAAAGAAAGAGAAAGAAAGAAAGAAAGAAAGAAAGAAAGAAAGAAAGAAAGAAAGAAAGAAAGAAAGGGAGGGAATGGGTGGCAAGGGGCAAGGAGAAGGAAGGAAGGAAGGGAAAGGGAAGGAGTGGCAAGGAGAAGGAAGGAAGGAAGGGAAAGGGAAGAAGTGGCAAGGAGAAGGAAGGAAGGAAGGGAAAGGGAAGAAGNAGAAAGAAAGAAAGAAAGAAAGAAAGAAAGAAAGAAAGAAAGAAAGAAAGAAGGAATGGGTGGCAAGGGGCAAGGAGAAGAAAGGAAGGAAGGGAAAGGGAAGGAGTGGCAAGGAGAAGGAAGGAAGGAAGGAAGGAAGGAAGGAAGGAAGGAAGGAAGGGGAAGGGAAAGGGAAGGAGTGGCAAGGAGAAGGAAGGAAGGGGAAGGAAAGAAGTGGCAAGGAGAAGGAAGGAAGGAAGGAAGGAAGGAAGGAAGGAAGGAAGGAAAGAAAGAAAGAAAGAAAGAATGGGTGGCAAGGGGCAAGGAGAAGAAAGGAAGGAAGGGAAAGGGAAGGAGTGGCAAGGAGAAGGAAGGAAGGAAGGGGAAGGGAAAGGGAAGGAGTGGCAAGGAGAAGGAAGGGGAAGGGAAGAAGTGGCAAGGAGAAGGAAGGAAGGAAGGAAGGAAGGGGAAGGGAAGAAGGAAGGAAAGGTTACCCAGAGTCCTAACTGCCTGGGCAAGGGGGGGGGGAGGCAGCGAGCTGGAAAAGGAAGGTAATTCCACGCCTGGCTTTCATGCATTCTTACAAAGGGGACACAAGACCTGAAGTCGGGCTGAGTCTGCTTTTCAGACAGGCTTTTTTTCCTTGCCAAACCCTCCAACTCCGAAACCCCAGCGCGACCCCTCCGGGGGTATCGTTCTCTCCGTAAAGGAGACCCGCGCGGAGGACGGCAGGCTCTCCTCTCCGAAGCGGCACCGCCGACACCACCACCCCCCCACGACCCAAACCCAGCCCTACACTTGTTGCAACCGTTCCTCTCCCCCCTCCACAAGCCCCGCACGCACGCACGCACACAAACACACACACACACACCGGCCAGGAAGCGCCCTACCTGGATGGTCTGGTTGGGCTCCCCTCCGGAGACCGGCCCTCCCACGAGTTTGCAATACAGATCCTCCACCGGGCGCGGGGGGCTCCGGCCGCCGGCTTCTTCCTCGCCGCAGGTCGCGGTGGCCGAGATCTTGGTGCCCTCGGCCAGGTTGAAGTAAGGCGGGTGCAAGCTGTAGCCGTTCACGTCGACCTGGAAGGAGACCGGCTGCCCCCACGAAGCCCCCAGCAGGGCCATCACCACCACCAGCAGCGGCGCCCCCGGGCACCGGAGCCCAGCAGCGGGCACCGCCGGCCGGCTCGCCATTTTCCCCCGGGGACTTTGGCCGCGCGCCGGCACGCTCGGAAAGAGCCGGGGCGAGGAGACTCCGCCGCGAGGGAGGCCGAATCGGGCTGACCCCCAAACTACCGGCCCCAAGACGGCGAAAGGAGCTCCGAGATGGGCGCCGGCCGCTCCCGCAGAGTGGATCCAAGTTGCAACCTGCGCCGGGAGGAGCCTCCCCGCCCCGAGCGCTGCTTCTGCAAGGGCGGGCGGCCGCTCGGTCCGGAGCGCGGCGCGGTTCCTTCTTTTGGCCAAGCTCGCAACGGCGGCGGCGGCGGCGGCCCCGGGAGGGAAGTGGTGCGGGGGAGGGAGGGGCCACGCGGGGCTTAGCCCTGCCGGAGGCTGCCCATTGTGTCGGCCGCCCTCGCGGCTCTTGTCCCGGGTTAACCCGTTCTGCCCGTCGGCCGGGCAGGAAAGGGGGCAGCGAGGGAGGGAGGGAGAGAGAGACAAAGAGGGAAAGGTCCGCACGCGCGCCTCCGTTGGGATGTTGGGGGGGGGGGAAAGAGGCGCCCCTTGGTGCCCTCGACCCCCAAATTCTCCCCCNTTTTTTTTTTTCTTCTTCTCCTTCCCTTTTGCAAATGGCTGAGTAGATCCAAGGATTTTTTTCCCCTCCCCCGCCCGGGCTGGCGAGTCCGGGCACGCTCGCCTGGGATTGCCTCTGGGTTCCCGGGGGGGGTGTGTGAGGTGAGGGGGGGGGAACGTGGGTGAGTTGGCAGCCAAGCGGGTAAATATCAGGTCGTCCTCGACTTACAACCGTCCTTGAGCCCCAGATTTCTCTTACTAAGTGAGATATTTGTTAATAGGGTTGCCAGGTCTGCTTCCAAAAAATAGCAGACAAGCGGGGGGGGGGGGTTAAGTAGTAAAAAAAAGTAGACTGTACAGCTTTAGATTACGTACCATTTCATCATCAAGCTTTTGAATAAAAAAAAAAAGTCCACTATTTTGTGGAAAAAAAATAGTGAACATAATGTGAAAAAAGTGGACTGTCCACTCAAATGGTGGACACCTGGCAACCCTATTTGTTAAAGTGAGTTTTTTTGCTGGGGGGGGTCCCCTCCCCCGTGTTACGACCTTTCTTACTATGGTAGTTAAGTGAATCGCTGCAGCGTTAAGTGAGGAACAGGGTCGCTAAGTGAACCCGGGTTGACTTTGCTTGTTAGAAAGTGAGAAGAGGGGGTCACGTGACTCCCGGGACACTGCAATGGCCGTCGTAAAGAGGAGTCCATTGCCAAGCGGCTGAATTTCGATCACGTGACCCTGGGGATGCTGCAGTGGGTCGTAAGTGTGAATAATGGTCACTTTTTTTTCAGTGCTGTTGTAACTTGGAATGGTCACTAAATGAACTTGTAAGTCGAAGACGACCTGTATTTGGGGGGGGACATTAAAGACAATCTTGCAATTAGAGAGAAAAATGACACACACACATACACACAACCGCTCTGATTTGGCTCTAAATGAGAACACTGGATATTTGGATTCAGAAGGGGAGATGTTCTTCCTGGCTAGGGGGTTTTGCCCCCATTACAGGCGACCCTCAAATAGCTCTTCAGTTCATTCTAAAATATATTTTTTTAAGCCTTGAAAAAGAAAGTCATCTAGGGGGCAGCACTTAGCCAACCTGGGTTGATCTCATCAAGCAAGGTGGGACAGGAATAACACCTGGATGGGAGATACTACTATGTAGGAAGTGTAAACTGCAGGCTAGACTGGGGAGTTGGGAAAAAAAAAAAAACCTATTGCAATGGAAGTGTATTTCGTTTTGTTTTCAGGAATTTAAAATAAGCTTGAATTGAAGAAGACTTCAGTTACTTTGCTTTGCTTTTTAAAAGGAAGTGTGTAATGCAATTGAATTAGCCAGTTGGGTCCAATTGCACCGGGCTAGAAACCAGGAGATTGTGAGTTCTAGTCCACTTTAGGCATAAAAGCTGACTGGGTGAATCTGAGCCAATCACCAGGAGATTAACCACTGCCCCACCACAATCATTCATTTAGTGACAATTCATAGTTATGACAGCACTGAAAAAAGTGACTTATGACCGTTTTTCACACTTATCACTATTGCAGCATCCCCAAGATCACATGATCAAAATCCAGGTGCTTGGTAACTGACTCATATTTATGATGGTTGCAGTGTCCCAGAGTCATGTGATCCCCTTTTATGACCTGACTAGCAAAGTCAGTGGGGAAGCCCGATTCACTTAACAACCGTGTTACTAACCAAGCCGCTGTAGTGATTCACTTAAGAACTGTGGCAAGAAAGGTCATAAAATGGGACAGACTCATTTAACAATTGTCTTCGCAATGGAAATTTTGAGCTCAATTGTGGTCGCAAGTTGAGGATAACCTGTAGTTTTATTATATGGAATTCAGACATTTCTCTTCCTGTAACTTGAAAATATGACTTTACATCCTATACTCTGCAATTTTGAACAGGTTTGCATGATATTCTTTTTAGGACTGAGAAAGCTGCCATATCAAGGATTTGAAGATGTTATCCTGCCTGTGAGGCATCTTTTCTCAAGGCTAAAACAAGGTCAATTTCTTCAGTCACCATTATTATTACTGTATCTCCTGAAATATAAATTTAAAGAGTATACTAAGGTCATTGAATCCAATACCCTCCTAATTTCTCTGGGTCTTTGTGTCTCCCAATGAATACAGGGAGTCCCAATCGTCCGTTTAGTGACAATTCAAAGTTATGGCAGCACTGAAAAAAAAGTGATTTATGACCGTTTTTCACACTTACTACTTTTGTAGTATCCCAATGGTCAACTGATCAAAATCCAGACATTTGGCAAACCGGCTCGCTTAGCAGTGGAAATTTTGGGGTTTAATTATGGTTGTAAATCAAGACCTGCCTGTAATATTCCTCATTACAGGAGATCAAGAAGTATGAGATTTATTATATTTAAGTGGATGGATGACACGTGATGTTTTTAGACCCCTGCAAGAAAACAAAATATCAGAATGATCCTTCTGGTTCAAAATCCTGGATTTCGCCCATAAAAGCCAAGATAGTTATTTCATGAATAAATTGTTTATTTTATTCCTTTGTTAAGAGACCTGTTGCCCTGGTTCCCTATGCCACTCAAAGCAAAATAAGGGGCAGGGGATGTTTGCAGCTGGAAAGAAGCATAGTCTCTTCCAGTGTGTCCCACCACACTTTTCTGTTTGCACAACCTTTCTGGTCTTATTTTTTGTCGTGACCGTTTTGAGACTGGATTTTGAACTGTTGGGCGCCAGTGTTTTTCTTCTGCGGAATGAATCTCCTGTTGTCCTCCGGTGGGGTTTTATGTTTGCCACTGAGTGAGACGCTGCCTAGGGCCATTGAATAACTAGCTGCCGTTCTAAGAAACAAAGGGCCGATTCTTTTATTGCCGCAGAGGGTAGGAACCACTGCGGTGTCAGCAAAGGTTTCTTGTGTGAATTGGACAGTTGCGGGAAACGTTCAACGGACACGCTAAGGCAAGCTTAAGCTGTTTCCCCCTCCAGCTGCTTCAGTCTTGGCACAGGGCTGCTGGAGATGGTATTGACATGATGTCACGACTTCCCAGCGCAATTTTTTCGTGTAACCCAAGGTGCCTCAGCCCCCTTTCCAAAGGAGCATTGAAGCACGGCAACCGAGCTCCATTCAATTAGGAATGACTTCCTGGAGAGTTTTCAACGCCACATTTAAACGCTTGCTTTGAATAGCTCGCTAAGCTTGGGAATTTTAAAAGCAGGCCTTGTTTTTAGTGCCAATTTCTCACCAAGCCAGAGATAATTTACAATGCCTTGGTAAGGCCACATTTGGAATACTGCATCCAGTTTTGGTCACCGCGATGTAAAAAAGATGCTGAGACTCTAGAAAGAGTACAGAGAAGAGCAACAAAGATGATCAGGGAACTGGAGGCTAAAGCATATAAGGAACGGCTGCTGGAATTGGGTATGTCTAGTTTAATGAAGAGAAGGACGAGGGAGGACATGATAGCAGTGTTCCAATATCTCAGGGGCTGCCCCAAAGAAGAGGGAGTCAAGCTATTCTCCAAAGCGCCTGAAGGCAGGATAAGAAGCAACAGGTGGAAACTGATCAAGGAGAGAAGCAACCTAGAACTAAGGAGAAACTTCCTGACAGTTAGAACAATTAACCAGTGGAACAACCTGCCTCCAGAAGCGGTGAATGCCCCAACACTGGAAGTTTTTAAGAAGAGACTGGACAGCCATTTGTCCGAAATGGTATAGGGTTTCCTGCCTGAGCAGGGGGTTGGACTAGATGACCTCCAAGGTTCCTTCCAACTTTACTATTATTATTATTATCTTTTTTTCACCTGACTAAATGCTTGGTTCTGCTAAAAAAAACCTAATTTCTGCATTAAAACAGCCACCTGGAGAGAAGAATGATGGATCTATATTTCCTTGAGCAGTGCAAAATCTCTGTTTTGGTTGGGTTTTCCGCTTGAAGGTTTTTCCTGGCCTTTGTGGAAATTATAGGAACAGAGGACAGGTTATCCTCGAATTATAACCTTTTGTTTAGTGACCGTTCTGAGTTACAATGGCACTGAAAAAAGTGACTTATGACCATTTTTCACACTTAACGGCCAATGCAGCATCCGCATGATCATGTGATCAAAATTCAGATGCTTGGCAACTGACTTGTATTTATGACAATTGCAGTGTCCTGGGGTCTCTTTTGCAACTGTCTGACAAGCAAACTCAATAGGGAAGCCAGTTTCATTTAACAGGTGTGTTACTAATTAAACCACTGCAGTGATTCACTTAACAAGTGTGGCAAGACAGGTCGTAAAATGGGGCAAAGCTGACAACAAATGTCTAACTTAGCAACAGAAATTTTGAGCTTAGCTGTGGTCGTAAGTCAAGGACTACCTGCATGGGCTGGGTTTTCCACTTGAAGGTTCCTGGCTTGGAAGAGTGTGTCTGAATGTGATCTGAATGTCATTTTGTGTCCGCACACGGAAATTCGTTTGAGATTGTTTGATTCCTTTTCT